TCCTCCGAGAATAGTTTTTGCCCTTTCAAAGTATGATGAGGCATATGACTACTAAATATTTGCTGCCATTACGACATGCCCATTAGCTTTCCCAATTTGGCAAGGACAGTGCTGCTCAATCTTGTGCTGTCCCACTTTTCCAGCTGTTTTAAGTCCTATGCACTACTTACAGGATTCATTTTCGATCTTCTAAAATTAACTACCAATACTTTCCATGCTTTCTCATTTCAGTGGTCTTACCATCCTTACAAGGAGAAACATAGCAAGAATATGCAGTACAACTCCTGCATTCACTTACCATGGAAACAGGAAACCATGGATGATACTGAATACTATCAAATGAATGGCCTCTGCTAGAAGTTACCACACAGCTTCACTGGAGGACCTTAACAATTTCTAGAGACAATTTTCTTTATCAAATGTGTGTAGGTGAAACTGCGAAACCAGCCCCGTGGGTATGGGGGTTGTACTGTAATTGCACGCCTCCAAAAGAGGAGTCATATAACCTCAAGCTTCCTCACTCACAGTCCTAGTTAGAGGGGGGTACTTCAAGATGAACGAACTAAAATGACACTGAAAGAGAGAGGACACATCTTGGAAGGTATGCCCCGAGAACATGGTACACATACACACTTCCCACCATTCTCAAAGGAACATTCACATGATGGGTCTTCACACCATGAAACATTATTCATGGAATATTTCAGAACTGGAAAAAGTCAGGTCATGAAGGAAAGAAATGCAGAAGTTCAGTTACATTGATCCATAGAATCATAGAGTTGGAAGAGACCACAAGGGCCAACCGGTCCAACCCTCTGCCAAGCAGGAATACAAAAAGTACTCCTGGCATATGAGCACCCAGCCTCTGTTTAAACACCCCCCAGAGAAGGAGAAACCACCACACTCCAGGCCAACATATTCATAGAATCACAGAATCATAGAGTTGGAAGAGACTATATGGGTCATCTAGTCCAATCCTCTGCCATGCAGGAAAAGTACAATCCAAGTATCCCTGACAGATGGCCATCCAGTCTCTGTTTAACAATTTCCAAGGAAGGAGCTTCTACCAGACTCGGAGACAGAAAGTTCCACTGTTGAACAGCTCATATGGTCAGGAAGTTCTTCCTAATGTTCAGGTGGAATCTCCTGTCCTGTAATTTGAACCACTGCTCCTAGTCCTAGTTTCAAGCGTAGCAGAAAACAAGTCTGCTCCCTCTTCCTTATGACACCTTTTCATAGATTTATACTTGGTTATCCTGTCGCCTCTCAATGTTTTCTTCTGCAGGCCAAACATCCCCAGATCTCGAAGATGCTCCTCATAGGAATTCATAGTCTCCAGACTTTTGATCATTTTACTTGCCCTCCTCTGGACACCTTCCAGCTTGTCAATATCTCTTTTGAACTGTGGGGCCCAGAACTCAACACAGTATTCCAGGTGAGGTCTAATCAGAGTAAATACGAAGGCACCATGACTTTCCTTGATCTAGACCAGCGGCTCCCAACCTTTTTTGGCCAAGGACCACTTTGTCCAGGGACTAATTGACCAGGGACCACTTTGACCAGGGACCGCTCTCCAACATTAGTACCAAAAGGATTACAAATCCATTTTTGGTCAACTGTAGATTCGGTTTGGGGTGTTGATTCAAAACATTGAATTGGATAGACCACATCAGCTCTAGTTTCTGATACAGAACATATGCCATGGTCAGCAACAGGTAAGGAGTGGCAGACGGCACGAAAGGAGCAGAAATAAAATTAAATAAAGAGGAAGGAGGCTCGTGGACCAGATTTTCATCTTTGCAGCCCACTGGTGGTCCACAGTCTACACGTTAAGAACCACTGATCTAGACACTATACTCCTTTTAGTGCAGCTCAAAATCCCACTGGATTTTTTTAGCTGCTGCATCACACTGTTGGCTCATGTTCAACTTGTTGTCCACAAAGACTCCAAGATCTTTCTCACATGGACTGTTGTCGAGCCAGGCATCACCCATCCTGTATCTTTGCATTTAATTTTTTTCTGCCTAAGTGGAGTATCTTGCATTTGTCCTTGTTGAGATTCATTGTGTTAGTCAAACAACTGTTACCAGCAGGTAATTCTTCCTAATATTTAGGTGGATTCTTGTATCTTCCATGTCCTGCTCCATCTTCTGATAACCAAATGTAGCAATTTTAGAGTTCACCCTATGTGTCAAAAAGTCTAGCTTCTTTTTTACACCTCCCCACTCATTCCTGTTTTCATACAGTATCATGCCTTTTAAAAGCCAGCGTGAAATCCCTCCAGCTTCTGTATCCCTGGTTAAGGCTAGAGTGTTTGAGAGCATAATGTTGATTCTAGTCTCTTTCATCCTTGTAAGCAAAGGACTTTTGATGCCAGTGTAAAAAAGAAAGAGGAGATAATCAGTATTGATCTAAGCCTATCTTTTTCATGGAAAAAGGGGTCATTTTCCTGAATGGCTAAATGTGAACTGACTTGCAGTTATTATTCATCTCCAGTCCTTGTTTTTCTATTCAGGTATAGATTTAGAAATTCTCCTATAATCCCTGCAATAATGCACATGAAGGAAGACACAGAAGAGAAGGGGAATTTCTTCTTCTCATTTTCATGAGTGGAAGAAATTCTGTCAGTGGATTAACAGCTATTGAATCTTATCCAATATTGGCTACTAATAAAATAAGGATCTCTGTGGCTGTATTTGTAAATTAGAGATGGAAAAAGCGATCAGAGAAGGAAAGCTCACAGCTCTTTGTTAGTGAGATTGGTGGATCAACTCTGGGTTTTAGTCTATCATTGGATAGCTCTTTTCAACTCATTTCTTCATCACACTAGAGAAAAAAATCTACTTAAAATCTGGTTTCTGCTCCTGCAGAATTCTGGAGTTTGTAGTTTTGGGAGGAGCCTTTAACAGCCTCACTAAAGTACAAATCCCAGAATTCTGCAGGAGGCAGAAACTGGATTTTAAGTGGATTTTTTTCTCTAATGTGATGAAGTGGTCAGGGTGAAACCATCCCCACTAACATGGAAGCCACTAGTTGGTGGTGATGGTGGTGAAAATCACATCCAGACCTGAGTAGCAAGACATTTTTTACAATTATCCACCCCTATTATTATATTATATATTATTTATTATATCATATGTATTATATGGGCCCCTTGATGGCACCGCGGGTTAAACCACTTAGCTGCTGAACTTGCTGACCAAAAGTTTGGAGGTTTGAATCCAAGGAGCGGTGTGAGCTCCCACTGTTAGACTCAGCATCTGCCAACCTAGCAGTTTGAAAGCATGTAAATATGAGTAGATCAATAGGTACTGCTTCTGCGGGAAGGTAGCAGCACTCCATGCAGTCATGCTGGCCACATGACCTTGCAGGTGTCTATGGAAAACTCCAGTTCTTTGGCTTAGAAATTGAGATGAGTACCACCCGCCGAGTCGGACATGACTAGACTTAATGTCAGAATAAACTTTACCTTTACCTTATGTATTATATACACACACTGAGATATATTTGCTGTAATGTTATGATGTTATATATTCTGTGCCCCAGACTTGTGACAACCCTATTTTAGGGTTTTCTTGACAAGACGTATTCAGATGAGGTTTGCTATGGCTTCCTCTAAGAGTATGTCTTGTCCAAGGTCACCCAGTGTGTTTCCAGGACTGAGAAGAAATTCACATTCTCATCTTCTATAATCCCATTCTCAGGCTATGGCACCATGCTGCCTCACATTATTTTATATATATATATATAACGGGTGTCTGCCAAAGATGCATACCCTTTAATAGCTAATAATAGCTATGATGATGATTTGAAGGCTAAGCTAATACATGTATATTAAAGAATAAATGTCATAATAATGATTTAATCAGAGTCACAAATTCCACCTTGAATTGCAACTTTATGGGAAGTACTCAGATTACAAATGGTCATCCCTGTGTAGCAATGCACTGCTCGCATGGTCAAAACACAGAGTTGCAAACCTCACCCAAAGTTTCTCTTATAAATTTGTGACCCTTTTGTACTGTTGGAATCCTTAATCTTATTAAGGAGGTATATTATTTGAGTCCACAGTGTTCTCTGGATGTAGGTGAACTACAGCTCCAAAACCCAAGGTCAATGCCCACCAAACCCTTCTAGTGTTTTCTGTTGGTCAGGGGAGTCCTGTGTGCCAAGTTGGTTCAATTCCATCGTTGGTGGAGTTCAGAATGTTCTTTGATTATAGGTGAACTATAAATCCCAGCAACTGCAACTCCCAAATGACAAAATCATGATGGTCACTCCTTGTATAGTGAGACATTTTGTTGCCAAATTTGGTGTGATTTCGTTCACTGGTTCTTTTGTTTTTAAGGTACTCATTATGCACAGAGCATTTATATATATATAGATAGAATAGATAGACAGACAGATAGAGATAGATAGATGAAGGGGTCATAGCAAAGTTGACAAGCACTTTTTTGGGGGTGTCAGGAGTGACTTGGGAAACTGAAAGTCACTTCTGGTGTGAGAATTGGCTGTCTGCAAGGATATTGCCCAGAGGACGCCTGGATCTTTTAACGTTTTACCATCCTTATGGGAGGCTTCTCTCATGTCCGCGCATAGCAGGGAGCTGGAGCTGACGGAGGGTGCTCATCCACACTCTTAAGTGGCTGAGGGGGAAAGGAAAGGGCCTGAGGCTGTTAGGAATGGTAGGAGATGGAGTCTAAAACACCTGGAGGGCTCAAGTTTGCCCATGCTTGGCTGTAGACGCACCCATGGTACCAGTCTTTGGATAGAGCTCAAGATGTGCCTTTCCTGCAGGAGTTACATTTGCCCATGCCTTGTGTGGACGCACTCATGACACGGGTCTTTGGATAGAGCTCAAGATGTGCCTTTCCTGCAGGAGTTGCAAGGGGGCGTGGGGGGGGGGGTCATTGGGGAGCGGCCTCTTTAAAAGTGTCAAGCGGTCCTCTAGATCCTGGAGAGACAGATGAGAGAGGAGAAGAGAGAGGCGGGGAGGGAGAGAGGGAGGGAGAGAGGGAAGCAGCCGAGGCATCCCTTGCTCTCTTCCTCTCGCTCTGCCCGCAGGAGAAAGTTCTCCAGGGCAAAGCTTGGAGAGAGAGAGCCGCGTGGGAGCTTTTCTTTCGGGAGCGACAGACCAAAGGAGGCGGGAGGAGGCGGCTTTGCTCTGGGCAAGGCAGAAACCCCCTTCAAGTCCGCTTCTCATCCGCGCGCGTCCAGGCAAGAAGCAGCAGGAGCGGCATTCCTTCCTTCCTGCCTTCCTTCCCTCTGCGAAGATGCGCTCAGGCGGGATGGAGCCTTCCTTCCTCCTGGCCCGGACTGACTGACTGACTGATTGACAGGCTGGGGGCTCCTCCGGGATGCCCGCCTGGCAGCGCCTCCGGAGAGGGAGGCTCCGGCTGGTTCTGAGGCGCTGCTCGCTGGCCGCCTGCCTCTTCCTTTGCGCCTGCTGGGCGGCAGGGGGCGCCTTCGTGCTCGCCTTCCTGGCCCGCGGAGGGCTCTTCTTCTCCGGCCGGTGCACTGATGCACACAGCCAACGCATCCTGGCCAGGCTGGTAGGTGAAGCCCTGGGAAGGGGAGGGGGACCCCTGGGAGGTGGAGAGAGGGAACCCCCCTTGAACCCCCCTTTTGGAGCCTGAGGGTCTGGTGCAGCATCTGGTAGGGTCTCAAGTTGGCTTTGGTCTGATCTCTTGATCAAGTTGGCTCTGGCTCTGGGGTGTAAGCTGAAAAAGTTATTTTTTATATTTATATCTAATCACTTTTTGGATCCCTTGGTGGCACAGTGGTTAAAGAGCTCAGAGCTGAGCTGCTGAACTTGCTGACCGAACGGTCGCAGGTTCCAATCCAGGAAGCCGCATGAGCTCCCACTGTTAGCCCCAGCTTCTGCCAACCTAGCAGTTCGAAAACATGCAAATGTGAGTAGATCAATAGGTCCGGCAGGAAGGTAACAGCACTCCATGCAGTCATGCCGGCCACATGACCTTTATTTATTTATTTATTTATTTAGAACATTTTTACCCCACCCTTCTCAACCCCTGGGGGGACTCAGGGCAGCTTCCAATTGGCAATAATTCAATGCCACATCATACAATACAGAATAACAAATATAGCAATTAAACATGAACATTAATAAATAAAGATTAAAACAGTATACTTACACTCTGATTAGCTATTGCCAGTCTGGCGGCTGTTTAGCTAGCTATCTAATGGTTACTCCACTTAACTTATCCAAATCCTCTTCCATGCCATAGTCAAACATTATCAATTGTCCTTTAACCTGATTGCCCGAAGGCCTGGTCCCACAGCCATGTTTTAACCTTTTTTCTAAAGGTGAGGAGGGATGACGATGACCAAATTTCCCCGGGGAGCAAATTCCACAGGTGGGGGCCACCACCGAGAAGGCCCTGTCCCTTGTCCCCACCAAGCGTGTTTGAGACAAAAGCGGGGCTGAGAGCAGGGCCTCCCCAGAAGATCTTAAGCTCCGAGGTGGGACGTAGAAGGAGACATGTTTGGACTGGTACGCTGGACCGGAGCCGTATAGGGTTTTATAAGTCAAGACCAGCACTTTGAAGTGTCTACGGACAATGCTGGCTCTTCGGCTTAGAAATGGAGATGGGCACCACACCCCAGAGTCAGACACGACTGGACTTAATGTCAAGGGAAAACCTTTACATTTTACCTTTCTGTGAGTTTCTGTGATAAGCAGTCCCTGAGTTACAAACATCCAACTTACAAACAACTCACAGTTAAGAACGGGGGTGAGACAACAGGAAGTGAGAGAAATCCACCCCTCGGAAGGGAAATTCACTCCTGGAAGAGTGATCATGGGGAAAAGGTGTCTCCACTGAAACTTTATGGGAGCCTCCAGTGGTTAAACCCTTGTGCCAGCAGGACTGAAGACCGAAAGATCATAGAATCATAGAATCCTAGAGTTGGAAGAGACCTCATGGGCCATCCAGTCCAACCCCCTGCCAAGAAGCAGGAATATTGCATTCAAATCACCCCTGACAGATGGCCAAATGGGGAGAGCTCATCCAAATGTGGGGAAAGCGTGGATGAGCTCCCTCTGTCAGCTCCAGCGCCCTATGTGGGGACATGAGAGAAGCCTCCCAGAAGGATGGTAAAACATCAAAACAACTTTCCATTCCCTGGGCAACGTCCTTGCAGACGGCCAATTCTCTCACACCAGAAGCAACTTGCAGTTTGTCAAGTCACTCCCTACATACACACACACGCGCACACACAAACTGAAGCTTTATCATCAACTCTCGTTTCCACCACAAGCTGCATTTTTTCAAAATCCAATTATACTAGGCAACAAAATTTGAAGAAGAAGAAAAATCTGTTTCTGGTTTCAAAGTGTTATTTGCTGTTTAATTGTGCCGTCCTGACTTTGAAAGTAGTTGCTTATACTCCAAAATCTTTGTTTTTGTTTGCTAGTAAAACCAAATTATTGTATCGCGAAATGATGCATGTTTAAAAAGTGTGTCACCAAGATGAAAAGTCTGGAAAGCTCTGCATTAGAGTTTCCTCCTTGAGTTGCTTCTAGATAATTGACCCCTGGTCTCAAAGGTGGCAGAAGTGAAGGTGGCACCCCTCCACTCTTCCCAGTGTACAAGGGTTGATTGTGTATAGTTGGTTAGGACATTATCTACCATCTGAAAGTAACAGTTAATTGGAAATAGGGGACTATGTTCTCACCTACCTTGGGTCTAACACTTCACTGTGTAACACATTTTTTTGTTCCTGAGTTATAAACATCATTTTCTAATTGGTTCCATCATAAAATCATGAAAAAAAAATTAAACTCCAAAACCTTTGTTTTTGCAAGACATCCTGCAGGACATTTTGCTATAGTACATTTTGCTGTTTCCTGTGCTATGCTAATAATATAATATAATATATTGTAAATACATATAATATTTATAATATTATTATGTAATACAATATAATACTAATAATAATAATACGATATTATAATTATATATTTTATATTACATGTAATATTACTAATAATATTACAATATAATGGTATAGTACAATATAGTAATATATAATACTGATATTGTACTATGCTAATAATATATTGTATGTATACATATCTTGTAAGCCCCTCTGAGTCCCCTTCGGGGTGAGAAGGGCGGCGTATAAATGTCATAAATAAATAAATAAATAAAATTATTCAATGAATACCTTGTAGTAGAGTCTCAACAGATTCAATATAGTTTGTGGCAATGACAAAAACAAAGTTTTTGGAATAGAACAACTATTTTCAAAGTAAGTACCACACAATTAAACAGGAAATAACACTTTTAAACAAAGAACAGGAAAAAAAATCAAATTTCATTCGTTTCTCTGGTGACAGGGCTCTACTTTTCATGGGTCCAGTCCTACCTGTGGGTGAATGAGCCATCCACTACCACAGTCAAGTTAGTTGGAGTGTCACATCATTAGATATTTCAGTGGGTGCTGTTATTGTTTCACTTTTCGGGAATGGAAGAAGCACTTGTGCCGTTTTTGGTCTCCAAGACCAAAATAGGTGTCCCAGGCTTGAGTAACGGATCTTGATAGCAGGGAGATTTGAACCACTTACTGCTCCACTTGAGGAAGCAGGTGGTCAGTTCCTTATACAATTAGTTTGTCCATATTTCTCTTTTCCATCTTTACTGCAAAGAATATGAGGTTGTCTGTCTTACCATTTCACCAAGCTTGTGGGGTCCATTGGGCTCAGAGTCCATGACTGCTCCCAGTAGATGCATATACTTCATCACACTAGAGAAAAAATCCACTTAAAATCCAGTTTCTGCCTCCTGCAGAAACTGGATTTTTGGGGTTTGTCATTTAGGGAGGAGCCTTTAACAGCCTCATTTAACGACAAACCCCAGAATTCTTCAGGAGGCAGAAACCAGATTTTCAGTGGATTCTTACTCTATTTTGATGAAGTAGTTAAGTGGTGAAGGAGGAATCTAAGCTGGAGTTCAGTGGTGTTTTGCATGTCTGAGGTGGTGAATGTGCTCTTGAGTTTTAATGCAGACTTTTAAAAAGCTATCCAGAGTGCTGAACTCTACCTCCAAAATAAGATCAGCACCTTGGAGAGGATTTTTCTAGGTTAGACTTAGAGTTAATCTACAATGTAGAATTAATGCAGTTTGATACCTCTTTAACCACCATAGCTCAATACTGTGGGATTCTGGGGTTCGTAGTGTGGTGAGGCACCAACACTCTTTGGCAGAGAATTTTAATGACCTTGTAAAACTACAGCTCCTATGACTGCATATCTTCAAGCCATGGCAGTTAAAGTAGTGTTGAACTGCATTCATTTTACAATGTAAGTCTTCTTAGGCGGTCTCTCATTGTCCGAGTAGGATTGTCTTCCAAGATCGGTGTCCTGGTGGTGAATCTGTAGGTGACTGTGGAACCCTATTCTTGATCTACATGTTCACCCGCAGTGAGGGCATTGGTTTCCAGGTGGAAGGCAGTCTCGGTCGGGGTTGGCTTGATGCACCTTCCTCTTGGCACGTTTCTCTCTTTCGCCCTCCATTTGTACCTCTTCAAATTCTACAGCATTGCTGGTCACAGCTGACATCCAGCTGGAGCGCTCAAGGGCCAGGGCTTCCCAGTTCTCAGTGTTTTTAAGGTTGGCTTTGAGCCCATCTTTAAATCTCTTTTCCTGCCCACCAACATTCCATTTTCTGTTCTTGAGTTCGGAGTTGAGCAACTGCTTTGGGAAACGATGCACCCTAATTTTGGGAGAATTTTTTGGTGCCCTCTGACCCGGCAGGTACTAATAAATACGGATGCACTTTCTCCAATCCCAGTTTGACATGCTAACTACAAAACCTACGTTCATTTTCTGCTGCTGATAGTCATTGTAGTGCAACAATGAATTAAACCAGCAGCTCAATCCTGGGCATGTTTACTTGAGAGGAAATCCCTTCTGGGTCCAGGTTGTGGTTTGTTCTGCCATAAGCATGCATAGGGTTGCAGTTCCAGCATTATGCTGTGTAACTGCTAAATGAGTTCTTGTGGGAGTAAGCTATACTTTCACGCATAGTTACTTGAGAATAAAGGTCACTGAGTATATTACAATGATTATTGAATGTGCATGCATAGCAGCAAGCTGGAAGTGTCAATCTAACAGGAGAGGAAGGAAGAGCAAGGAGGAAATGCGGATATATGAAAAATCTGCAGGAGGATGAACCTCATTTAAAGACAAATAGGAAGTAATGTTCTTGCCAGAATTATGATCACATAATTTGTGTCACTAAGGAGAATATTTCAGTGTTAAGTCTGAAAAACAAGAGTTGTTTGAAGTTTTCCCATATTTTTGCATGCTAGACATTGGGGGTTGAATACATTAGCAGTGTTGACTGAAAAGGCATGTTCTGAGAAGTTTAGAAACTCTGGGTTGCATATAAGAGCCAGACATAAGGGCATGCTACAAAGGCTGCTCAATGGGAATGCAAACGTCTGTGTGTCCACTTATGATAGTCCCATGAATTTCATAGGCTACTCCCACCTCCCACCCCCAAATATAGCTTATTGTACCTGTTAT